AGGGCACCTAGAAACACTTAGGGCAAACACGTATGCCACGGTTGATAAAGATGGCCGCACGGCAACACACAAAGCAAAGGCTAAGCCCCGTTGCCTCGCACAACTCCACGCCTCCTGCGTTGAGGAGCCCCACCTCTTCATGTGAAGGACTGGTTCTTGGTACCTACGTGGTTTCATACCATTAAGAGCGTACGCACGATAGAGCACAACGACTGCGTGAAATCAATTGAGAAATGCAATTCTAGCGATTATTGGATTAAGAAAAATAGTGACTAGTGCTAGTGGGCTTACCAATGTCATAGCACGCGGTATTCTTTTCAGCACCACCGTCATTGTGTTTGATGATGTGAGAAAGGACCTGAATGAGGCACCATCTCGGGCATACAATTTGGAGTAACTAGAAAGCTAACCAAAGGATCAGGCTGCTGCAAAAGCTGATGCAGTCGCTGTGGAATCTCCATGAAACGCATTCGCTTACAGCTGAAAACTTGCTCAAGGAAAGTGTCGTTATTCACAGTGTCGTGATCCACGGGATCCTGGAAAAAAGACTAAAATATACTTGCAACTTTCTGAACAAAGAGCAAGGCAAACGAGTCAAACATTGAATAGCTATAAGATGTAACAATTTTCAGCTAATTCGTCGCACTAGTTTTTTTTTCAGTAGTACGCATAGAAATTTGCGGGAATGATTGAAGCAACAACCCCAGTTAAGTCGTGCCGAAGAATCAATTCAGTGGGTGGGGTACAGTAGCCCACGAGTATCCCAGATGTGCCGTTGTCGCGTCTTGAAAGTGTGCGACAATGGCGCTAGGCTCTTACAAAGTGATCTGATGGCGACTAATGTGAACTTACGGACGAGATACCTCGCACTCGCTATCATACGCAACGTGGACTTACGACGTAGCGGATAAGATAGCCAATCAGCAGATGGATATGATAGCCTCATCGATTGATGCGATTACGCTCAAGGAGCTCGGCGTACTTCTTACGCCGTCATTACCAGCCACTGTCACCCAGGGTGAATATCGCTTGAGGATTCCTCAACGGCACGTCGAGGATTCTCTGCCCGATCAGAGACGATCTCTCGCGCGGACATTCACACTCGCCATGCGTGCCGTCTGTGCTCTCCGCGCGGATGTTCACTCTCGGCACTACTCTCGCATGGTAGAGAGCTATGGTCGAGGAAATTCCTCGACCGTTATTCACCCTGCTTTCACCCCACCCGGTTAAGCTAGGGCTGTTGCTTTAAACAGATGCTCAAGGCAAATCCAAGCATACTAACCACTATTTTGACATGCTGTTCGCGTTTCGCCTATGCGTTACTTTTTTCTGATTTTGTGCATGTATTCTATAAATCACGCCACAGCATGACTATAAATGGTGTGGCTTATTGAATAGGCAATATACTGGCCTTTAGCGGAGGTTCTTTATGTCTTTCAGATTTGCCAGTTCAGTTCATCCCTCGTCTCTTTACTTGTCATGAGCGCGTACACAAAAAAGAGTAGTAAAAGAAAATACAGGCCTATCCGTATGTACAAAATATGTGCTCCTATTGAAACAGCCGCGCAATACTTTTGAGGTCCACTACAGCAAAAGCATCTCAAGTTTGTGTTTCGATTGACATAATACGTCAGGTCGATCGAACTTCTATACTGTATCTCCGATGGGTTAAGCAAATCGAACGTTACTGAAGGCATTTTGTCGCACATTCCTTGATGCAAGTTTTCGTTATTTAGAGCTTAAAACCATGTTAAGTGAAGCAACCGCTCTTACAATGACCTTCGTTTCCACGTGGCGAAAGAATAAAAACCCAGAACGCGCGCTGTCGTTAACATGTTCAAATCAACATATTATTAATTAAAAGTAGTCTTACTTCAATCTATTTCTTGTTACTGTTATTATTACTGGTTCACGACTCCTCTACATATGAAGCTACAGAGCAATTATAGGTCTGTAACTCAAACCAAAACCAACAGTATCACCTGCAGCTTGTGAGTCTTGATATACTGCCATAACGCCTCGATAATTTTTGGCCTTGTTTCAGCAGCAATGCCCAGAACCTGAAGATTCAAAAAATGAAGTGTGTGTTTGAACACAACGGAGGCGATGGAGCCGAACCTTTGCTAAACGAGGATGGAGTTTGAATTTCATTGGTTGATAATCGAGAAGAAGTAGTATGGTGCACTTTACAGGACGGTCTCCGGGACGCTTCACCTGAACACAACATTACGTATTTTTGCTCTAAAACAATATTCCATTGAGCTATACACAGGGTCCTTCAAAAGAATAAATAAAAAGGGCACGTTCAAGTGAACGGAATTCCCAACCTGAAACCCGTCTGTTTCATTCGTCGTTGGAGTACGATGCCACTCAACCAAATGATTGTCCGGACCGTATATGTCCTTATCCAATTCGATTACCTGAATTGTGCTTAAAACAGCCGAGATGATTTCGTATTAGTCCAAAATAATAGCACATACATAAGATTTAACAGATTATGAAGTAGTGATAATGTAGCAAAATCAGCGCCACCTATCGCTATTGGTCTAAGGCTTGAATCTCGTCAAGTCTATCATTGCATACACCCGATCAAGGCTTGCTCACTGGTATCGAACTCGTTTGGAAGAACAAAAACAATGATGTGAACCTCCCATGTCATTATGAAGCTAAATCGCATTTGAACGAAAGTGAAAGAAAAAAGTAGATATAGATCAGCGGAGAAGAGCAAGTGAACTTCTAATGGTAGGCGCAACATGCGTTAAAAAGGGCGGGATTGCCGCCAATCATATGAACTGACTCAGAGATAGTTCAAGACCGGGAAAAAGTGGAAGAGGGCGAGGAAGAAAAAGGTGGGTGGGACATGCACCGAAATAGGCGGAGTTTACCACGAGATTTATAAATCGGTCTAGAGGCAGTCCGGAGACCGGGAAAAAGCGGATAATGGTTGACGAAGAAAAGAGGTTGAAAGCCATCGATGGATGGAGCGGATAGAATCTAGCTGAGAAGTCAAATATTCGTAGTGTAACGGACCAAATTTGAGAATTTACTCGCACCAACCTATATCGCCGCAGAACTGCGTTGTGCGCGCAACGCGTACGGCCATACATACAACCCATACAACTGGTATGTATAAAGCAGCAGTGTGTGTGTATGTCGTTTCGCGTCGCTTTGTTGCCACGGAACTCAATACTACCTGAAGCCCCACCTGCAGAGTCCGGGACAAGTTTGGGATCGGTGGGGCATGGGTCATGAAGTGCAAAACACAAATCAGCCAAGGCCAGCTCGGCCCATGGTGACAGGGCATGTGCGGAGTAGACGATGCCTACGCAAAAGTTTATAGTTCGCTTGTAGAGCAGCCTAAAGACCAGGAAAAAAAGGTAAAGGTGGGCAGCAAGCGGCCAGTTAAATTTGGGACTCGCCCGCTGCGGGCGGAGCGTTCTCTGCCCCAGTGGTGCTAAGTGAAAAAATTCATAACTCGGTTAGTTTAAGACTTATGAAGCAGAAAAACTGGTTAAGCAGAACAAATTTTAAGGTGCCCCTGCATCCGAGTGGAAGCCCACCCACAGGAGGCGGAGCGTGACCATGAGTGGGAGGTGTTTGTTACAAATCTTCATACGGTTCAGAGAAGTCCCAGGAATCAGAAAAAAAGTGAGGGAAACTGGGTGGGGGGAGAGGAAGCCAGGTACCAACGGTGGGTGTACCTCAAAGTGGGCGGGGTTTAACTCGATGCAGCGCAATCCGGAGACCGGAAAAAAAGTGGATAGGAACTTGGTAGTGATGTATATGTTAAAATTGTTGTATTCTTGAGCTACAGATCGATACTGATGGAAAATATCGATTTTCGTGCAGAGGTCTGATGTGCTTTTGTTGTTGTTGGTAACTCCAGCAGCATGGAACTTTCCCAACACTGCTGACAATAAGGGAAAATCGACGCAACTTTTCACGCCCTGCTCAAATTTTCATCGCTTTCAACAACATTCTGTAACGAACACCATGAAGTGACTCAAACTAAAAGCATCTCCTCAGCCACGATCGGTAATGAAAGAGCTATTATGTGCTTCAGAATACTCCTCACTCGCACTAACTACTACATGGTAAATTAATCAACTTACGAGGCTTTTGAAGAACGAGCTAAATTTCCGCTTGGGCAAAGGGCGTGCAGGAGGTGCTGGTGTGGAGTGGCCCGATGCAGCGGTAGATCCATTGGCCTAAAAAAGTCCGTAATTTTAGAGAGTTGATGAGAGACACCCTTATTCCTGACCAATCGCCTTCAGCGCCGCTTCAGTGATATGAGTGAGTGATACCTCCTTCAATCAAACCAGTCAAAACAGGATAACGGTTAACGAAACCTGTATCACACTCAAGAACTATGCTTTCAATTCATTCTATAGCTGACCTGATCTTCTATCAGTCGGCCTTCGACACGTAGCTCCCACATTGGGACAGTACCCTCATCGCCTTCCTGCAACGGTAAGAACAGAGTAAATTATGCAGGTTGAAACAAGTAAGCGAGCTTACAAGCAACACCTACCTTCTCTGGTTCCTTACCAGCGATGAATGTATGCGAAATATAAATACGCAGCCTTTTCTTAACCTTCTTGAGGCCTTTTAAGAGCTTCCTGAAATATGTTGGAAGCATAGCACGCAATTCTCCTCACACGAAGAGAGAATAGAGAATGTGCATTCTGGTAATGTTGTCGTCAGCAATGCGGAAGGCACAAACACATGCGAAAACGCAAAAAGTGCCAAAGAAGGAAGGATCGTGGGTTGAAGTGGACCTATGCAATGAGACATATCTTAGGAGATTTTGGTTGCTAATCTCGAATACGCTATTCAAATTTGCAAACTGTTATCAGAAAGTGGTTCTAAAACCAAATAGACCAACGGTGATGGGACGACGGACTCAGTACGAGAAATTATGAAATCTACTCCTCGCCGTTCCCCTGTTTTTCCGTACGGAACATGATTGCGAAACAAACCTCCAAACACGTTCATTGATTAACCTTGTCTATATTTACCCCTTAGAAAAGTTTGCGAGGATTGTTAACAAATACAAGCGCAATTTGCTCGTGGCCGCATATTGCCCCCGCAGCACACTCCCCAGACGCTTTTGCAGCAGACAGGTCTGATTCAGAACACAAAACACCGCTGAGTGCAAACTTCAAGCCAAATCTGAAATTTCAACCAAACTTCGAAAAGGCCAGTTGTCAATCCATCTATCCATCAACCTATTCTGAAACCTAGTATTGGGATGGAACAACTTTTGTCCATCTTCAAAAATGAACAGAGTATGTTACTCGTTTGCATGCATCAAAATTTACAGGGCATGATTTTCGAATGAAACGGTCACCTTTATGCGCGATAGATCGACCCTAAGGCCACTAGCTTGGGGAAAAGTATTAAACTCGCCCACTCTTCCAAGTTTGTTCACTCGCTGGATGCGAAAATGCCTAAGGTGCGTGATAAGTTTCCAAAAGGCCGCGAATGTTGTGGAAAGTCTCACAGAGAGTGCCCAGACTCAATATAAAGCAAAGTACGGTTGAAAACAGTGCAATCATATACCATATTCCCATACCATTCCTAAATTCAATTATGCCGACTACTTAATGCGCAGCAACATTGAAATTTTCTTAGAAAGCAATATTTCTTAAATACGAATACGTCAGAATGCCTGCAAGAAATTTCACAACAACGAGAACTAGAAAATTCCCTCCAACGAACACAATCTTCAAAACACACAACAAAATTATATGGCGTACAGAGAAATTTCGTACCTGAATGTCGAGCTTTTTGCGAGTTATTGTAGCGTCAAGTTTCTGTTCGAAAGCAAGCAGGTCCATATATGCTTGCGACTCCGGAACAAGCTCCCTTACCTATAAGACACCATAACTGCCATAAACAGAAGAAGTCAGAAATACTTCCACCAATGTCATAAAAAACATGACTACGTCTTAGATACGAGCAACACAAATGAAATGGAATATGAAGTAAAAAACAAAAGCGAAAAAGGACTTTCGCATTCAGTGCGGTAAGGCCGCGTTCATAGTTCGCGACTCCGGAGATTAGGATAGTACGCGACAATGAAAAACATATGTATTGACGGGGAGATTAGGATAGTAGTAGAGTAGGAGATTGCGCTGACAAGATTAGATACGTATCGATTGAAATCGCTGGAGAGTAGTAGATTGCGATATTACGATAGTAGGATAGTAGTAGAGTAGGAGATTAGGATAGTAGTAGATTAGGATAGTGCGCTGACAAGATTAGATATCTATTGAAGTCGCCCAATCTACTACTCTCCAGCGATTTCAATCGATACGTATCCAATCTTGTCAGCGCAATCTCCTACTCTACTACTATCCTAATCTCCCGAGTCGCAAACTATGAACGGATACTAATGAAGGGGCACGGATACTTATATATTAAGCTGTGGGGAAGATTTCATTTGAAAGACAGACTGTGAAACATGAAGCAACAATTATATGCTGCTTGGAAAACTCAACCAATGACAAATATGCACGATTTGAATTCACAGCGAAAACCCATGGTTCTTATACTCGATATCCGAGAAAGGTAGGCGTCACTGGAAGTGACGTGCACTTGATAGAAGCTATGTGGATAAGCTGCTTCCAACATACATCGCTGGATATCAGCAAAGCATGCTGGCAACAGCTTATCCACGCAACTTCTATCAAGTGCACGTCACTTCCGGTGACACGCCTACCCCAACTTTCGGATATCGACTGTACCTGTGGAGAGATCAATTTGTCTGCGTATCTTTTCTTTTTACGAAGAGGTTGTGAGACTCGATTGCCTTGCATTGGCGGTCCTTGAGAAGCCATTTGCGGACCACCCGGTCGCCTCATCGCAGATTGCGGTGTACCACCTGGCTAAAATTTCACATACAACAATATCGACATCAGCAATCTTAGCTGGATTGAACCGATAACGCAAGATTCCCGAAATAGAAAAGCCATCCCATAAAAGAGCCTTCTTGGAACTTTCGCAAGAAAAACCTCTGCGAAAATTTTGCACAACTTGCCTTAAGTATTCACCGAAAAATAGAACGCAATATGAAAGCGTAGAAGTATGAACTAAGGAATGCGCAATGTGGCTTCGAGGGGACTGAGCCCATAACATTACGCCAGATATCCGGAAACACTTTCAAGACAAAGGCTTAGAAGAAGAGGAACTCCTAGGTGCATAGCAATGCCCATTCTCTCCGGAATTCGTCCCTATCCGTTAAGCTCAGTCCTAGTGGCCTTCCTACAGATTTTCCCACCCCCTGGAAAGCACATTGCACCCAAAGGAATAGTGGTGAAACACCAAGCTTTAAGGAAAAACAAGCAAGTGGGACCAAGACTACTTTCTACTCGTTCTAAGGGCTCTTCTAGGAAGGAATCATTTAACCAAGAATGTTATTGATTTGCAGTCTTTTCCGGTAAATGCTCAGCGGGTCTCATCCAGTAAGGGGGCATCAAGTGGCTGCCCTCACCCCCCCCCTAGACTGCCTACACTCCCCCTGGCGCACAGGTTTCTCGAAGTACGGGACCCCGTGAGCCAGGGGGAGTGAAGGCAGTCTAGGGGGTGGGGGTGAGGGCAGCCACTTGACGTTGCATCACAATGCCCCCCCCCTTACTGGATGAGACCCTGCTCAGCTTCCAATTCACGGTATGCTTACAACTTTGACCCATCATATTACCTCCACTTTAGAATCACAAATCGCAATCATATGCACAAATTACAAGCCTACTCACCTGAGGAGGATATCGTCCTAGCGGCTGACCTGGCGTTCCCACTCCTCTTTGCTGCTGCATCGTGCCAAGGATCAGTTAAAAAACGCTTCCGATGGATAAAGTGCTGCTACACAAGAAACAAATCGATCGCTGCGGCGCGTTCAAATGATGGCCATCTGCCAGCCGCCACCGTACCCAAGCTAGATGTGCAGGTCAACGCTATCGATCGGCCTTCTTGTGGTGCGGCACGTGCTGCGTCGCAGTTGGTGGTCACGTTTTCGTATGTGCGGCTTTGTGCTCGTTGTTGTCTCTCATATACCATTTCTATCTTATGTCGTTGCGTTGTGGTGATATTATTCCGCGCAATGGAATCGTGTTCTTGTCTTTACTGGTGTAGTTGTAAGCTGGCTGGGCGCTTGGTGCATTTCGTAACTTGTTTTAGTTTGCTTTGTTTTCTAGTAGTCATTATGTGATTACACCAATTTAAACACCGATGTTTAGTTGATGATATCCTCTTTGATGTCATCGTTCTAGGATAGGACGTGCTGTCAACAAGCGGAACTGAGATCTTCGACATTGGTGAATTCGACGTCCTCTCTTCGCGTATAATACGGGTTCAAGTTATTCTTAGCATTAGATTATGTGTACTGTTTATCTTTCGCATAAAGTGTAATAGCTTTTGCAAGTATAATTTTGGGATTTGAAAAGGTGGAGACGTTTTAGTTGTTATGATTCTAGATCTGAATGGTGAATTTCATTTGTTCACCAATATTGTATGCCTTGCCTTGTGTTCAAGCATTGTATTAGGCTTGCTTTTACGCTCTGACGGTCTGGTCTTTTCCAGTGGTCTGTGAAAGGAATAGCTCTCGTTTGCATACTAATTACGATGTGCTAGATCTGTTGATCCTGAGATCTTGCATAATATACAATATTTGTCACAGTTCTGATCGAGTTTTTTTTTGAACATGGGTAGTATAGCTAGTTCCTATGAGGTCAAGGTGACAAGGCAGGTGATTCAGAATCTTATAGTGAGTGTGGTACAATGAGGAAGGCGGTTGCCGGTGCCTTCACATTGGGCCTGGATTGTATTTCTTTGGAAACCATATGTCACAGCACTGCCTATCTGTTACTTTGCCACCGGTTAGGAAAAGACCAGACAAAATGGTCCGCAGTAGGTGGCTCCGTGGACTTGTTCCCGCTCTCAATCAACCATAGAAAACAGCATGCCAGCAGTGAACAGAATATCGTTAATGCAGTGATTGGTGAGAGAAAGAGAAAGCAGCCAGCAGTCGGCTCTAGTAGCTGTGGTAGTCGCAATAGATTCCGCCCGCCTTAGAACCGGTCGGATGGGATGTGGAAGGGAGGATGGGTGGTGTCGCGGTGTTTGCTAGTATTAGTAGTTTGTCATCAAAGTTTCAGATGCTAATGTGGATGTTCCGAGTAGTGACTGTTTTTCGAGCAACTTTGCGTGGCAAGGCTGCGTCATGCTTTCCTTTTCGGTGGGGCACTGGGATGATAGGCGGTTATTGATCAGGTGTTCAGGGCTCGAGTGTGGAAGAACCGAAGAATGAACGAGTCGGCGTGTTGTGCGGATCGATGGCTCGTTAAATACTCGCCCGTATTTCCGAGCGCAGCGTCGATTGATGGTTCTCATCACTTAACAATGAATCAGCAAGCGTCTGCTTTCCTGAAGTGTGCGAAAAAGGCATCAGTGAAACATTACAGTTTAGTGCAAGTGAAGCGCTGACTTCAATGTCATAATCATAAGTCTAACGCTTTTAGTTCACGAATGGATTGCAGGAACTGGTTAGGCAGGTATTTGGATAACGTCTGATCAGTGCATATGTTTGTGTGCGACAGGTTTTTGTTCATATGTATTCCTGGATGGTGAATGTTCATTCTCGTCTTGCTTTAAGGGGGTAGCATTGTATGTTGCGTCAGTTTACAGTAACCGTTCGACAGCAAGAGCCCTAGATAGCTTGGAAGAGGTGGGAGAGGATGAGCTTCTAGAGAGTAAGGCCAAGGTTTGGAGGGGGATGGTCTTCGGGAATAATCACTGCCTCCTACGCCAGAAGGTCTCCTTCCTTAGATATCGGTATGAGTTCTTCAGCCTAAAACTAGCGATTACGGTAATCCAGAATGCACCGTAACAGGCTGGCTTTGCACCCCTATTCTTCCCCGTGAATGGCTTCCAGTTTTTATTTTTGACCAGTGGTTGTGTTGCTCACGTTTGCGGTCTCGGTTCCAGTTATACATAGTAACCTAGGTTATGGGATAATGTGAACCTACTTAAGCCCAAATATGTTGGGAAGGAGGGGGGACCCTAGTGCAGGGGGAGCAATGCGTATAAAGCTCCAAGAATTACTTTTGGGTCTTTTCAATGGGAAAGTATGCGCTACAAAGGCTTGTAGCGCCTAGAGTAGTACAGTACAGTTCCTCCCATTTTTTGCAAAATTAAGATTACTATAGGGGTACCCTGAGACGTAATACTCTCTCTCCTTCCTCCCACCCCTGGTGCTGAACTATGCGCGTAATTAGTGAAGCAGCTAAGTTAGTGGTGGCGATTGTTGCAGTTAACACGAGCTTTGGTATGAAGAAACCAAATGAAATAACATTAAACTTGTTAATCAGCTCTGAACTGAAAGTACGGTTGAGTACAAAGAATTTTACCTTCCTTGGTAACAAATCGTTCAGACCTGTCAATGTCTTATCAGTTGGAGAAGTAATTAATGAGATGTCGTTCGTTTGATCTTTACAATGATAGTGGAGTGGGTACGCCAACTGCTTCGAAGTTAGGTGCGAGATGTACGTGGAGATTGCCCACCGCTATGACGTAACGAGACGCTATGGAAATCAATAATCACTCCTTTGTTGTTGTTTTTTCACGCACATGTCGTTAGGGGAGAGATTGAGTTGAGAACTTGGGAGTGAGCCTTAGGAAGGAAAGAGGTTTTGTGGGAGGGCGTGAAAACTTCTGTTCTCCTTGGCATCTCTCCAGGGCTAGTTCTGGCGTCAACTATCAGCGGTTTTAAATGCCCTGTTTAGAGTGTACCCCCTTCCCATGCGGACATCTCATCCCACTCGTTCACATATACAATATCAATAGACTGGGCTTTAGAAAGAGGGAAGAGATCTCACCAACTTAGTGGATCGATTTCTATGACATCACTTCAGTGGGCACCAGTCTCCACCCACTTTTCGCTTCTACCGTATTCAAAAAATCGGCGTGCCCACCCAACTAGCGCTGCACTGTGATTGTTTCACTTTCAATGTCGTGACTTACCGCTTTTCTAAAAATGCTCTGTTGTGCTGCAAGAAGATGGTTCAAGTAATTTTTCAGATTTTGATATTGCGCAGTAGTGGTCGGGTACACTGTCGCTGAAGTTTGTGATATTGTGATTCTATCTTATTCTGTTGCTATGTCTTCAGCCAGAGAAGCAGCCAAGGAATATAAGTAGGTTTTAATATACGTGATACATGCGGTTACCACAAAAATATGCTTGTTGCGGAAGCCTTCAGAAATGTACAATATCATTGGATTAAGCATCGTTCACAGTGCGATGTCGGAGAATCGTAAAGGCAATGATTATTTAGTAGGACAAAAGGGGTACAGTCAAACAGGTTTATATCTGTCCGGCTGACTCCCACCTCGGTGTTCTACGGTAATCGGAGAACTTGAGTTTTGCTGCTTCTCCTAATCTCCGGTTGTGATCGATAAGACTGTAATCTTTTTCGCGGCTTCTTCGACTTTGGCTTCAGCTCCTGCGCATTTTTGGAGTCCTTTGTGTGGTAATTGCCAACGATTGCGTAACGCATAGCCGCAGAAGTTTGCATTCACAGACCTTGAAGTAATACTACTGGCGTTGTGTGGCAAAGTCAGGCAGTATTGCCCGATATTCATAAAATACTTTATTTCAATATATGTTTATACCCTAAGTCTATACTCTCACATATAAAACTCGAAAAGGCTAAAGTTACAGATAAAACTAAGAAACATAACCAAAACAGTTGAAATGCAACCAAACGAAACGGTGAAACGAAAATGGATTCGTGACGTTGTTCTCCCGAATGGATGTCGATTTGGCAATTGTGCGATCGCGTCACCGCTGCTCCTGTCGCGGCTGCATGGTCGTCAAATCAGACCACTTATGGGTTGCACCAGCGTCAAGCGGGGCGTGGAGAAAATTTGAAATACGATCATGCAACCCCTCGTAGGGCGACGGACTGTTGAACTTGATCCTTAAATCGCCTCAGTGTGATGCTCCTGCCTGCGCTCTCTCGCCCAAAAGCTGCTCATGACTTGTATAATCCCATACATTCAAACGTTTGACGTGCTGTAATTGGTTCATACAGCCTAGCGTCCGTTCTCCTCCCAAGGTTTAGTCTTAGGGATCCCATCCTTATCCTTGGGATTTGCAGCAAAGTCAGGCACCGTTCTCTGATCGTTCGTGTTTAACAGTTCGTGGCAGGACCATAGAAGAAAGTTCAAGTAAAAGTGCCATGCACTACTACTCTCCACTCTGTTCCCCGCAGACAGGTACCCGAGCCCGCCCCTCTCACTTTCTTCACGATTTGGGGCGCGGCCGAGTCGATAGTGCCCGCGAACTGTGCGGGTAAATTTGAAAACGCTCCACCACCACAGTTCGCGGGCACTATCGACTCGTCCGCCTCGCGGCCGCGCCCCAAATCGTGAAGAAAGTGGGGAGCCGGTGCGCGACGTGGCGCACGTAGCAAAATTTTCGATGGGAAGGTGGTATCTGTGTGGTCAAAGAGGCTCGCGGACTTGCAGGGGGAGGGAGCAGAGGTAAATGCAGATTTCTTATGAAGAACTGGCTTGCGTGACTACTTGAACTCTCCTCCATGTTCTCTGCCGCGGAATGGCCAGAGCACAGACGATTAGAGAACGGCGCCTGGCTCGGCTCCAAATCCCAAGAAGGAAGGTGAGAGCCCTAGGACTAAGCCTTGGAGGAGGAGGGACTCCGAGGTGGGTGAGCCAATTACAGTGTGGCAAAAGTTTGAATGTGTGAGATCACAGTGGTCATAAGCCGCTGTGGCGAGAGAGCGCAGGCGAGAGCATCAAATTGAGGCGGTTTAAGAGACGGAGTGGTCCGTAGACCGAAGAACTGTGATTGCTGTTGCAATGTGTTGACGATAGAGCAGCTTACTACAAAGTAAATACGTTGAGATTTAACGCATATTCAAATGACCATAAATTTCTTCAAAGCGGGCGATTTTTCAATGTGAAGATTTGGAGTCCTGTAATGAGACTTCCAAATTATGCTACATTTATGGAAAATAGTGAGAATACAGATTTGAGTAATTAACAAGCTTGGAAATTGCGAGTTTTCTCACTTTCGAAACCTTGGACTTTCTTCGTATGCATTAGTTCAAATAACTGCATTTAGCCTTTTAAAATAGAAACCGAAGCTTTTTTTTCTGGTTGTCAAAGTAGATTGATGCGTCCACTATGTCAAAAAGGGCTCCGTTTAGAATTTTTGCAAAAAAAATGAGCTCGTTTTCATAAGGAGTGCGAGTTGCTACACACTCGAAAGCTATAGCTTTTTTCAGTTACGATAAGTCGCTAATGTGAATATGGCGTTGTGAACTTGTAGATTTGTTTTAACATGTAGTTTTTGAAATTATTTGGTACACGCAGCTTGCCAACCAAGAATTCCGTGGAGGATTTTTTCTCCGTTCTCCGTTGCGATGTCATTTCTCCAACGACCGTAGCTTCATTCATAGACAATTTTTTACAAACAAATATGAAGCAGCTTTGGAATTCGTACGGCTGGTGGAGTACGCGATCATAGGTTTCGCTGATTTTCGCGATTTGCGCGATTCACGCGATTTGCGCGACGGGTCACGGAAATCACAAGTGCCCGATCAATACTGCAAGGTGTTCTCCAATCCTGCCGCCACTTCTGCTTGATAGTGATGGCTGAATGACGACTGCTCATGATTCCACTTGTTTCATATTCAGTGTTTCAAATGTTCAAATGGGGCACTTGCAATTTTTGCGATCCGTCGCAGGTTTCGCGCAAATCGCGCAAATCGCGAAAATCGTGATCGCGCAAATCGCGAAAATCAGCGAAACCTGCGACGGATCGCAGACTCTGACACCCACCTAAGCGGTCACCTTTTTAGCTAGGGCGAAGCCTGCGACGGATCGCAGACTCTGACATCCACCTAAGCGGTCACCTTTTTAACTAGGGCGAAGTTCGCTATAACCTTAAATGCTCATATGCTCATAAAGTTGACGCTGGAAATTACATTTTTCTCGAGTAATGGTTTCCTTCCTGTCATTCTGAACAGTCTCTTTTGGGAACTTGAATCTATTATACATTTGGATGCAGGAACCGGAACTGAAGCGCATGCCTTTGTTTAGCTCGCTCAAAGATTCGCCGTGCAGTCGATGTCCGGCGCGAGTCGCGGTTCCCATCCACACCTGAACTGCTGCTCTGGTCGTTGCTGACTCGGCACTTGACCCGCTTCCTGCCATTAGACATAATACAACCTCTTCGTCGAGAACTCCTTAACGCAAGCATGACAGTGGCTCGCAACGCCGCACCTCACTCAAAGCGACCATCGTGGTTGCACTCGCAAAGTCTGACCTAAGCATATCTCAGGCGGAGATGCTTAATATGTGAATTTGTGCTCAAATTTATCTGACTCGTGGAGATAACGGTTCTTGGAAGAAAACAAAGGAATACTGAATGATCAAATATGAATTTCATGCTTTTGCTATTACTGTAGTTCAATTTCTTATCAGTAAATGTGACAATTTACAAGATTATGACGAGACTTGGCTCTTGCTCGTTATATGCTTTGAGCTGCAAATTTCGGTGACATAGCAAAAAGATGCTGTTCGTGCGTTGATCATGTTATAAACATGCAAAATGTCAAAAATAGTGGACATTTCCTGGTCACAAGTTCTGAGATACTGACATGGAACAAATTGAGCTTTGCTTTTTTTGGTATCCCTATTTTTGTTGGGTTGTCCCATAATTCCTGTCCGATTTTTGATCAAATTCAAATTTCTTCAAGTCGAATTAGTGTCATTGCGAAATATGTTGGTATGTCAAAGAGTGCATCTAGACCGTTAGCCAGGACATTTTGGAAGGTCAAACCCGCATCGGAATAACTGAGTAGAAGTCGAAATAGATCAATGACAATAACGAACGATTATGCTTTATGATCCTCAAATAGACGCTGTTGCAAGGAGGACACTAGAGAAGATCAGCGCTGTGTTTGGCTCAGTCTCTGCTACTGATCGGTCACTGAGCTAGAGGTTCGGTCGCAATGGCAAAGACAATACGAGCTGTGAAAATCAGCCTCATCCTGGGCCTCCACTCACTTTCGATGAGGACCCCTTGCGCCATGGATTGGAAGTGCACACGGACGCTACTACCAGGGTATTGTAGCAGACACCTGGGCGCAGCCGATGCACCAGCACACGCCATCAGGATGAAGTGGGCGGCAGCAGAATGAAGACTTGATGGAAACCATATGCACCGACCAGCCATGACCGAGAAGCAGGTCTGACCCTCTGGGGGGGGATTCATTCTGTGACCTCATTAGCAGAGCGTTCCCTAGTTGATCACTAGTGGGATGAGTCATGAGTTCACTACGACAACAACACGCAGCACGCCTGATGGCTACCTCGCAGCCAGGGCTCACCAGCTCAACAAAAGCCCAAACTCCGTGTTCAGAGAATATTGCTTTGATTTGTTAGATTGAGTGGGTCTTCCGCTTTCACAGTTGTTTTGCTATATGCGGACAAGTATTGCGAATGCCATCGTGGAACAGCTCCCGGGTTGGCCGCAGTAGTGGGAGAAACCGTCCTAAACGTCCCAAAATCCCCTTTCTCCGAATAGACGCCGACCTCACATTGCAAAGATAACTCGCTACGTTCTGAGGGAAACTGGCTGGACCACGATACCATGTCCATCGTATAGCCCTGGCATCACTCCATCGGGCTATCCCCTTCACAGTGCCTTGAGGCAGCAGCGGCGAGAGAAAAAAGTCACTAAATACAACCACTCCAAAAACGACCTTGCTGAATTCTTCAGCTCATAGCTTCACCCATTCTAGGAGGAAAGCATCCAAAGGTTCCCTGGCGAATGGATGCATATCGGTGATTATGATAATGGTTATATTTTTGATCAATTGGTTTTTGAGGAAGATAAAACTCGATGAGAAGAAGTCGAAATTCGGACAGGAATTATGGGACAACCCAATATAGCGTGGCGCTTCCCAGAATTGGGCAAGGATAACTTTCAGGCATGAAGACATGTTAGAAGTATCACTTTTAGCCTTTTGGAAAATCTTCATGACTATACATTTTGTTAAGGTTAAGTATTATTTTGAACGGGTCTGTGAGGCGAACGATCTGCTCCTCTGCTTGGAAGAGAAGAATAATATTGAGTGCTTGGTCGTTAAACATACTTTGTTTGAATGCTATCATTTCAGATTAACCCTCGATGAGTTAGTGAACAACAACAAAACACAGATAAATCTTTTAACAATTCTGGCGGAGGATTACCAGCAGCATGCGGCTTCCATAGTCGAAACTATAGAGAAGCAAATATATACAGTAAGTTTTTGATATCATCGAGATAGTTGATGGCTGTCGTTAATTGATTTGATTAGATCTGTCTCATTAAAGCGAGTTTCCTTTTGAAACGAAGTAATTAGTTAAGAGTTCTGATTCCCTAAATAAAACCTGACCATTACATTATAAATGTAATCTTATTTGTAGGTCCCAAAAGCTCAAAAATTACCAATCATGTACGTTGCTGATTCGATAATGAAGAATATACCAAATAGTGATTACAAAGAATTGTTTGCGAAGATAGTCGTACGACTTTTCGTCCATGTTTTCCTAGAGGTATGTTCCAATTCTGGATTCTCGGAGGTTTGCCTGTTTTTAATACCATGTACAGTTCCAGGGTGATGAAGTTGTGCGGGCAGCCATGTACCGCCTGCGGCAAACATGGGGTGACATTTTCAATCGATCGAAGCTTTATCAATTGGACATCAAAGTGAACGAAATCGATCGAGCCTGGCCGCTCACTGCCTTGAAACAGGGTGCAAAACCGCCTGTCATAACGAATTCGGCACCAGCAGTACCACCGGCAGCTCCTGCTGCATCATCTATCAAGCCAATCCACGGCAAAGTCCACGTCAACCCCAAGTTCATTCAGAACAACGGACAAAATACCGCGGTATTTAATTTTGTACTGATGACCCTGTTTCAAATAAAATATACTTTCATGACCCCTTCATTTTATACTTATGAAAAATTTGAAGGATTGGGATTGTGAATCAGTGTTGTTGTTTTAGTCCGTGGATTCATTGATTCAGAAAAATTTCATGAAGACACCCACATTAGAAAGATGAAGTGTAAATCTGGCAAGACGCTGCCAACTAAAGTGGGTCGCATGTTCGACGATGTTTGTATATACGTGACCACTCTGACACGTACCCAAATCTAATTCACGATAATGGGAACATTTAAACATTCTGTACAAATTTGATCAGCTATTCGTTGTTACTTGCATGGTGTAATCAGCAATCCAGCGATGCTTCCACCCTTTGGAATGCCCAATAGCACGACTATGACAAGTGGATATCGATCAGTGCGCCTCAAAAATTGCATGTTTTTAAAACTAAGAAGTGCACGGGGGCAGGTAGGATGAAGTGCGAGTACGCTAGGGGGATTTTAGCGCCATCTCCTAGTCGATCTTATCGTTATATCAAATATTTTGGGACATTTACATGTTCGAATCATTATAATGCGAAGCAGTTTAGTTTGTAGCGTCACATATTTATTTACATAGAGAATATAGCAGCTCTATGCATTGTCAGCTTTTCTCAATTTATTTTTGTCGTCGTCACGGAGTGGTCTGCGGCTGCATCGCGTGGAAGCTGAAGGACAGCTGCATAGCTAGTTCAGTTTACTGCCGCAATTGGTTGGGCGTAGAAGGCGACAAAACATTTAGTACCGCGTCCGCCCACTCACTTTCCACTTCTTGCGGCAAGGAGTTGCTCTGTGACAATGGCAATCAGTTTCACTCATAGGGAACTCAAATGTGGAATGATCGTTCAGATACATTCAGGTAAAGTTTATTTTGCAGAGCGATGACGCGCCTAAAAAGGCTATAAAGTCAGATGCACCGAAGAGAGTACGGTTCAAAACTGAGCTGAAGGAGCCGAAGAAGGAGCTGATGTGCGTGTTTAAGCATTGAAGTTACAACATGCCCCGTCTTTGTGAGGGATAAAGGTGTTTGGATTTCAGCGATGAGCTTCTGGATTTGCCTCCTGTCCGTCCCTGTGATCGCGCAATCAAAACAGAGCCAGATGAACCCACCCCTCCAGTTCATCATAACCCTCAACCGCCTAAGAGGAAGGCCGGCTTAGGTGGAGGCCCTCATATCGATACAAAACGAAAACGATCTCCGCCGAAGTCACATGATGAGGATCTCCGATCATTAGCCGCTCATGCTACGTAAGTTCAAATTTCAATTCAAGCACTTGTCTACTCTTAACGATGTGAGCTGCGTAATCATGGAATTATTTCCTCGTTATTGTAAGTGACAAAAACATATCTACATGGAGCTTCACATACATTTGTATCTGTGATGGCGCTTGTTTACTCGGCCATTTTTCAGGCTCACGAGAGATTTGCCTTCGCACAGTTTTAATCAATTCTATCGTTTGATGGTGAAGTCGATCGAAACCATTCGCTTATCTGTCTAATTTCAGCAAGGATACTGTCGTGAAGCCAACTCCAATCTTGGGCTCACATGCTTTCACTGTTCAAGCAAAATCGTCTATAGGGCGTGCTCATCAACAACTTCCTCTCCCGGGACGGTCTTCGCCAACATTACCTACTAGTGGACTGCCCATTTCTTCCGCGAGTTCGTCACAACTTCAAGTTCCTGGGCCAAGCCTTCCTATGCCTCCCAACTTTCATGTGCCTTCTTCAATACCTACACCTGGAGGTCTTCCAATGCCTCCAAATTACCATCCCCCTGTTGCACCGTCGACATCAACTCTGCCAATGCCACCAAATTACGTTGCTACGGCACCGTCAGTTCCTGGTCCTGGCGGGCTTCCCATGCCACCAAATTACGTGCCTTCTGGAAACTCCGTGCCTCAAGTGGCGCCAATCCGAGGGCCAAATGGTTTTCCGATGCCGCCAGGGTATCGTCCTCCAGCACCGAGTACGGCGGTTGTCACTCCTCCTATACAAGCTCCTTCTGGGTCGAACGCGGTAAGAACAAGTTCACTCTGTTTATTCTTCAGATCCAACTGGCAGTGATCCTGTATTACTTCAGATTATAACAGCAGAAGCTCCAGTCAAACTGGATATCCCGTCAAACAACCGCATTTTCGTTGATGGAAAAGCACATGAAGTGGAATACGTCAATGACATCGCAGTTATAGAGCGCAATGGCCTCCCTCACAAGTATGTTCCATAAGCCGTGGAGTCAGACCGTTTCTTCCTAAAGTGGCTGCGAGGTTTACCTTGGGCAATATGAGCGTATTTTCACGAAAATATGGTTTTTCTTTTGAATTGGTCGGCTAGGACTTTATGTTGTGCTTCTTGCCGTAGATGGAGAGCGACGCACTCGAAATTGCCATAACTGCTCCAAGATTAGGGGACGTATCCCATCTCTGGCCGATGGGACAACATACGCCCTGGCATGTCGCTTGCGGTGATACGCTTGTGGGATTGTGTGGAGTTACATTTCTGTGGTTAGGAAGAAATGGTCCACTTCCGAGTATTTCATATGACACCTTGCCTTTAAGTGCAACTTTTTTCTTAGGATTTTCTTCGCTGGAAGCCCACGGAATGTTATAATAGATGGTGTACCGCATTTACTACATTTCGGGGAATCGAAAGCAGTAATCATTGATGGACAAGAACATATTCTCCGGTTCGGAGCGCCAAGTCGAGAACTCTACCTGAACAACTTTTCTTTCAAAGGACAGTTTGGAGGTAGGAGCTAGTAATTTATTCAAGCACAGTATGATTTTTTGAAGAACATTTCTTCTATAAAAACTCAATTCCGTGTCCCTGTCTTCAGGTGCACCAATAGTTGCAACCATAAATGGTCGTCGACATGAGATCCGATTAGCTGGTCCTGCTCCCGATGTTAAGATCAATCCAGATCCGGCCTACGAATTGACGGCCGAGTTAAATCGGATTCGAGCAAACAAAAGCGAAAACAAACCAGGTTTGAACACATCGACATTGAAATCGGGTGTATTCTGATGAATGTAATGAATTTCAGAGCCATCCCTGGATCCTTTCAATCTATTGAAAAAACTCCAACAGAGCGGATTCTTAAAGAAACCAGAGCCAGCTCCTGCACCAGCTCCTAGTCCATCCACACGTGATAGGCTTCGACATACTGCTACATTGTTGCGCGACACAACGCCACCAATTCCTAGTGAGCACAGGTAAGAGCAGCATTTTCAGGTAGAACTTCGTCCCTTCTGATTTGTTCCTAAGCATGAAACCTCTGCATTTTATGCTCTAATAATCGAGATATCAGCGTTTCGCTAAACGTTTGCTACATTTGTGCGGATTTTTTCAATCACTAGTTTTTTTTACTCCGTTCATCTTCTCAGTTTTTCGCATGTGACTGAAATCATCCCTGTGCCTAGAAAAACGAATAAGAAATTTTTTGCTTGAATTCGGGTTTCCTCTAACAAGTGTTACTCCGCCTTTCTCATTTAGTTCACCATCTTGCTTTGGAATTTGCTACTTGTTCAATGTTACACATTTAATTATAATGTTTTAGCATCAGCGTGGTGGAAAGACGGTCGGTACCTACAGCACCGTTGAAGGAGTTCAATATGCGAACACTCAAAATGTTGGTGGTTAATATTAAGTTCTTCTTTGGATGCTTTTCAAAATATTCTGTGTTGTTTAGACGCTATGAAAGCGTGGTTGATGCGCTCCACGAGAAGCAGCAGAATGCGTGTCCACACTGTGGTCAACGAATGGAGCTGCGGGGTGAGCGATACGAGCGGCATCTTGACTGGCACGTGAAAAGGAATCTGAAAACATTCGAGAAAACGAGCTCAAGTCGACCGTGGTATGCAAGCAGTAAGGTGGGATTTAAAATCAATTGTGTTTGTTTACAGTATCTTTAGTGTGTTTGCCCTGAGAAGTGGGCTTTGGTTAATTTTTTTCGAAAAATCTAGCATTTTAGAATCGTAAAAAGCCACAAAGGCTTTGAGTTGGTACCTGTAATAAGTGTTTATTTAGTAATCATGTTTATGTTTATGTCTGAGCTAATCTATTGTTGGAGCTACTTTCTCAAAGCCTTCTAATTGATACGCCGTCTTTTCGAGCAGAGTTAGAATCAGTTTTGTTATGCTCCTACATTTCTGAGGAATCATTTGAACGGTCCTAGTCAGAGGCATACTGTGCTGAAAGGGGTCTGATATTGTGTAGCGAACAACGTACAAAACATATTTTTTGCCACAATTTCTCTCGTACTGAAGCTATGTGTGGTAATATTCAGGATTGGCTGAAAAGTGAGGAAGAGGAGGAAACGGGCGTTAGCGTGACAAGTGGCAGTGCTGGTTTGTTTGATCAGTGACATATTTTTGTTCTGGTTATTGCATTGTACTATGTAATAAGACATGTGGTTTCAGAAACTATGGAAGAATCTGTGCCAATAATATCGGTTTCCGCTCGAGAAGCCGTGAATAAGGTATGTTCACAGTTCACCACAGTACTTTCCTCGTTACTCTTATGTGGTATTTCCATCAAAAGTGCGTTTTAGAATTGCGCTGTGTGCTGTGAAGAATTCGAAGAATATTGTGATGAAGATGACGATGGTGTATGGAAGCTCAAAGATTGTGTTATAGTTAATAATCAGGTATCTTTCACAGCACTGCTTTTTGGTGACGTTAGTGGCAGGGTGAGCAACGTATCGAGGAAATTTGGCAGCCAGATCACCTCCCTTACAAATTCCTTCTCCACCATACCTAAAAGTATGGATTACTTCCCAAAAAAGTTCGTTTGACGTGGGGAGGGGGGGGGGGGGTTTCCCAAAACTTTCCTATCAGCCCTCTCTCATCTCTTCCCACTTCAAAAAATACTACAAACCCTTCCTTGCGCTCAAAGAATCCTCGATGTTAGTTCGCACTGGCAGTAGTATTAAACCGAATACAACAGAACAAAGTGTCTAAGTTGATTTTCCAGGCATATCATTCTGCTTGCGTTCAAGATGCGTCGGTGTTAGAAGACGTACCATCGCAAGAAGCAACTGATACATGTGATACAAAATGTGTTGTACAGGATAACAAGCTGTTAAATATGTTGAAACCTACACAATAGCAGCGTCATTCGAGTTGAAAAGTCTAAAAAGGAAATGTTTGTATATACAGTGGCCGCAAGTAACGATTGCGGTCCGCATGGGTCTTCTGGAACAGGCTTGCCGGTTATGCCTAGCTTCGGAAAAATCACTAAATTTTTATACAATAGAATTAAATAAATATTCATTGTATTCTTGTGTTCTTGGTTTGCTTTCGTTTATGATTGTGTTTTACTGCTTGACAATAAATTACTGAAAACATGTTGTTCTGTTCACAAAACATAAGGTATAATACCGATTTGCTATTCCATTGGTATCAACCATTCATAGTTGTGGAAAGTGAAATGGAGGCATGCAGGGGAAATCGTGTGGCTTGAGGTGCTGCGTCACAGTTCTCCGGAAAAATCATGATTCTATCACATTCATAAACCACTGGCTTGAGATCCATGTTCTCAATAAGAACGAAAAGAAAAAAATGCATTCATTTTACTAAACACTTTGAAAACTGGAAGAGCAGCTACGCGTTCAAATTCCCGCCGGACTTCCGTCCCAAGTGCTGGTGATGGGAAAGCATTCCTTCCACTAGAAAATCTTTTTGACCTTGTGGCTTTTGCGCTCACATCTCATACTTCTACTGCATCCTACTTTATCGTTTATTTTGTTTCTGTTCTTCGAAATGCGCTCTAACCGGATTCTTTCATTGCTTCGCTTGATTGGTACCGCTCGAGCCGCTTTAAGGCGCACTTCCTTCCATGCCTCTTTAGCGCCGCGCGACCTACCTTCAGCCGGCCGTGGAGTGCTGTACGTGAAAATTTGTATGTTGTCATCACAACTGACACATTCAGGCTAAGAAAGGGTTCTCATCCGGTAAGAGGAACATTGCGGTGCATGGTCTGCTCTAATGCCAATTTGGCTCAAGGAGCGCTTTAAAGTTACGAGCTGCTATCAGCCTTACTTCATGTGTTATAACGTCTACGAAAAGTAATGTTCACCTAGTCAGCAGGTCAGGACTAAGCCTAGGAGGGGGAGGAAGTCCCCCGGGGAAAACCAAGATTGCTCACGGACCCGGGGCTCCTTCCCTTCTAGGCTTAGTCCTGAACGTCTACAATAAAATAATGTGCTTTCCATGGTTTGAAATGCTCTAGATCGCTATGCTCCCCCTTACTGGATGAGACTTTAAGAAAGAAAGCAAGAGTTTCCCGGGAAGGATTCCTTTAACCCTCAACCTTCTCATTCTCATCCCATGAACTACCTTTGTCAAAGCGCCTGAGAATCATTGATGGATCATTTACCATCTGTTGACTCTAGGCTAATATGCGCCAGATATTGTCTCATACACGAATACAAATACATCTTCGGCTTACTCACAATCAGAAGTCTTCTCTACACGGGCATTGGAGAACTAAACTGCAGCTTACTATTGCTGTGGAGAGAGTTATTTTAATTGTGAAGAGTGATTGTGGAACTTGAAGTGACACTTTTGGAAGTGGTCTTGAGTAGATTTAAGAGGGTGGAGCTTTCAGCACCAGTCAATTCCTTATTGGAATGCGCACCGTATTTTATTTTCCCTCACCAGGAAGGTCTTTCAGGGGTGCCAAGCTTTTTGAAACGGTCTTTTGCATGATATAGGGGCACATGCGGGAACCACAGAACCATGGTTAATTTTTCCTGAACGGCCCTCTGAATACCAGAAAAAGGGGTCCCTAGTTCGATTCCTCGTGGTGACAAATTTTTGCATTTCGAGTTGACGTTTCAAAATTCGCGCAAAATGGAGTTAGCATGAATAATTAACCATATTCATGATTAGGACCGTCAGTAACCCTTACAAAAAGACTTTGATTAGAAAACTGGTAAAAAGCTGCGACATTAAAGTGGGGGCCGTCTTGGTGTGACAGCTTTTTCACCACTGTTTCACCTCCACACGTGAGAAAAATATTCTATTCCATGTGCCATGTCTTCGAAGTTCATATTTCCATGCATCCTCCAATGCTTGAATACCGACACACATCGTGAACTACAGTGATTAGCACGGCGACCTATCCAGTTTGCGATTGCATTGACATACAGTTTGTCCTTTTTGCTTACCGAAGCCTGATACGAAACGATCTTCTTTACGTGCTGAGCTTCCATGGGGAATCCTGATCACAGAGTTGTTCCAACCTTCATCTTGAAATCGTTTGGCGTGTCTTGTTGAGTAGATCTTGGATTCCTTGGCAAACACCAACGCTCTTTGATCGTCGGATTTTGGACTGCGGATTCCTCTCTGCACTTACGTATACAAAGTAACTCCCAAGCGTCGTACTTGTCAGGGCGCTTTGGATACTGCTGAGCACATGCTTATCCTACTTGCACTTCCCTACTATCAACGGGTTTCAAATCCCTATGGAGCTTTGACGAAGAACCGATGGAACATGAAATGTTAGTCATGAAAAGGAAAACTAAAACTGCTACGTGAACCCTTGAAGAAGCAGTGAGCGGTCAGGTCTGGCATCAAATGCAGTGTTTGTATACGAAATGACAGTCCGTGCAGTCGTAACTAGCACGGAGCACCTTGGGCTTTATCCATTGCAGGATTCCTACTAGAAAATAGGAATGAACAGCTTCAAAATGGATACCAATTTAGGCGTGATCGTTGCTAATTCCTGCCTGAATATTACTCACTTGATGGGAAAAAGGTTGAGGCGCCAAACCGGTGCCATGTGGTGCCAATCTGGACATTTGTTAATCTGTTCAGATTCAGAGAGTTGAAATTCGGCCTGAGTTCGAAAAAGAATGCCACTACGGATTCATCTACTTTTGAAATTCTCGGCTTCTTCTGAGCCGTTCTATCCAACCTTGCAGTATGGATATCCTATCTACTTCAGGAGAATGAGACTGATTGCTATTTTCAGTGTTTTGCATATGCATAGCTTGTAAAACTCTCTTATGAGGGATGGACAGACTTTAGGTATTCAGCCAAAGCTTTCCCAGACTGGACCATGGAACTTTGTTTTGGGAGGCAACCCTTGGCTGCCTCCCTTTACTTCCCTGCCATTTGAATGCAAGCTTCTGCCGACATACACGATCTCAACCGCTCACACCCAGGGGCCATCTGCTATCTTGCCCAAGTCTTCCTCTTTTGATGCCATTCTTCCGCAGCATAGGGAGTGGGAAGAGAGGGTTCTGTCGTCATACTATAAAACCCACCGTTGACCGGTTGGTACTGCATACACCGTCTGGCGTTGGACTTGGAGAGCTTTGAGAGGTCATGTTGCTCAAGGCTGGTGCCAGCTAGTGGTAGTGCTAATAGCGAGTCCACGGATTCGTAATTAGCATGTATTCGCAATGTATGACACTGGCTCAACAGCCTGGAAGGCTGCAACGCCGAGGTGTGGGCGATCGTGTGACGCAACCTCATCTCCCCAATGTTAGGGCAGCATCGAGGGAGGGGGAAGCGTGGTTTTAGAGGAAGGATAGTATTCGGCCCCAGAACGCACCACATGCGTGGCTACGTCTGAGCGAAGATGGCTGGTATGAATCAGCTGACATGAGCAATCCAGAAACAGAGTCCATTCCTTGATTTCACATTTGCCCCAGGTCAAGTACAAGGTGCCTGTTTGCAATCAACCCTCTCCGACGTCTGGAAAGCGCTCCGTAACCCTGCCATCGTCAGCCTTTACCACATCTGGGTTGTACTCTAGTAGCCTGCTATCAGACGTGGCGTCGAGCCGGGAAGGGAAAGCGACTGATGAACGATTCGCCCATGCAAACGATCCGCATTGGTTGTAGGATGGACTCCTAGAAAAATTAGAGATGTGGCACACTCTTGCGTGGGAATGGCCCGAAAAGGGTCCTAGAGCTTTGTAAAAGCTTCTTCATCAGCTTCTATATCCGTCCGCAGAAGGCTGTTGTCTGGCGCCCTCTCATCTGTTGCGTTTTCTCGCTTCCTACACTCCTCTCCTTGCTCAATCTTTCATTGCCCAAGCTGGAAGAGCAAGCCCTAAACCTAAGCGTTTTCGACGGATTCTTTCTTTTTTTCTTACTGCCGGCCCACTTCGCACCAATGCTTTTATATTCGTGTACAAGAATTACACCAGTTTCATCCTGGGGCATGCCTTGAACGTGGGTCTTTGAATAGCATTCTTTCTGAACCCGGGGCGGTCAGAAATTTATGTTATACATTTACATTTACAGCTGTTGGATTTTTCAGAAAAAAACGTCGAGGGTTCAACACACGGTTTGCATAGTAGCACCTGGCGTTAGCCAACCTGGGAAATTGGCTTGCTCAAGCGTATTCAAAGCAACAACTCGATGAGGTCGGGTCAAAGAACCTCTTTTGTGTATGGGACTAGCCCACGAGTATCACAGATGTGCCGTTGCCGCGCCTTGAAAGTACGCGACAATGGCGCTATGGCTTTACAAAGTGAAGCTTATGGCGAATAGTCTTAACTTATAGACGAGATACCTCGCGCTCGCCTTCACGCAACAACGAGGCCGATAAGATAGCTGTAGTTGGATAGATAAAGTAGCCTCATCGTACTGGTGCGGTTGCGCTCAAAAACCTCCAGACGCGTCCTTTCCGCGCCATCATTTCGGATTGCTGCTACTCCACCAATTTGAAATGGGGTTGTTGCTTTGATGACACTCGAAACTTCACCACTAAGATGTCTGCTATATTCACAATTCAGAATATGAATCGATCCGTATTGGTTAATGGATGCGTCTGCGCCACGCACTCGGTTCCCATTTGTAATTTCAAGGGCTTGAAGATTTATCCTGCTCGCCTCTGGCTCACGTTATTCGAGGGTTTCCCAAACGTTCAAAGCGGAGTGTTTATCTGTTAAGATTTACCGATTGCGAGTGCAACTGTGTGAGAGATAAGAATTGTAAGTACATAGTTAGACAAAATGCAACAGTGGCCGCTGTGAGCCCTAAAAGAAACAGTTATCTTGGTTCAAGTTGCTAAATAGTATTACTTTCATAAGAACTGAAGGTTGAACAACATCCCTTCATTTGTCTCATTCATGGCTTTCAGATCATTCCA